CGCCGCCGCGCTCAGCGCGAGCCCGAGCCCCACCCGCCTGCGCATGCGCTGCAAGAACAGCCTCCCGCTGTCCTGGAGGTCGGGCCGGCGCGCGGCAGCGCCGTGATGACGTGAGTGCGTAAGGAGGTTTTCCCCGCCTTCGCGCCAACCATCTGGCGGCCGCGGACTGCGCGCGAGGGGCCCAGTTTTGCCCCGCCGGGACCGGCTCGGGAGCGCCGTTGTCCCGCCCGCCCCCTGCTGCAAGGCAGGAGCATCCCCTTCCCCGGGCCCGCTCCCCTTTCCTGCGGTGGCAAGAGCCGCCCTCGGGCAGCAAGAGCTTCCAAGGAGGCTGTAGGCACCTTCACCCCACATCTCCCAAAAACATTTATCTTAAATTAACTTGATTGCGGGGGTTAAATGTCCCCAAAGGGTTTGCGGGGTGGCTGCCTTGTGGCGTAACAGTGTCCCGAGCTGCTGAGGAAGATCACCTCGCCTTCGAAAGCCCCTCTAACTTCATCCCAGTTGCACAAGAAAATAAAAGACATTGCTCCAAAAAATCCTTGCCTCTCGCATGGTTTGTGGACCACCCTGGCTGCAACATCGCCCTTGCACTACCATAAATCATGTCCCGACTTGAGCTACGCCAAAATAAGACGCTTGAAAAACTGAAATAAGACTGCCCAGACCAGGAGGCTGCATCGACTTAGACCTCTTCCTCCTTTAAATTGCTAATGCCACTGCCTACCTCTGTAAATCTTACTGTTTTATTACTGCATTTATGCAAACGATTCTGAATCAAAGATGGCCCTCTGATTATTAAATTCTGTACATGGAAAATTAATACATTTGTCATCATTTTCCATGTATGGAATCTAATTATTGGAGGGTCATCTTTTATTCATTCCTCCTACCACTGCAGGGAGGCAGGTGGTGTGGGGCAGTCAAGCAGCTTGTGCCTGCCCCTGTGTTACCTCTGTCCCACATCCTACTCCCATACCCAGCAGCTTCAAGGCCACTCCTGCCCCCAGCCTCTGCTCCCCAACTCTCCTCTACAAAGGCAGACTCCAACCCCATCCTAGCCTGGCGCACTGAGCATGGAGTATAGCCCCAGCCCAGGTGCTGTAGCAGCTGTGCACCACTGCTATACTAGCTGGGGCTGTGCTTGGTGCTCCTGGAGCAAAAGTAAAAGGTGGAGGGAAAGGGGCAGGCAGGGAAGCAGAGGCTGTATGGGGCGGAGGGAGAAAGCAATGTGCAGAGGAAGGGACTGGAGCCTACACAGACACAGCTGTGGCCTGCTGCCCACTTGCCCCATATGTGATTCTAAGATGGGGAAATGGGGGCAGAACAACCAGGTCCTACAATTGAATAAATATGGGATTAATAGTTTACCTTTTGAATCTGCCTGACTTCCCAAGTTTCTGGAGCCTTTTCCTTTCCTTTTGGTTTATAACTTAGAGCATTTTCATCACCTTTTGCTTTATTGGAGAAAATTAAAATAATAAATTGATATCTGAAATTTTTTTCCCATTAAAATTTTATGAGGTTTTTTTGTTAATTTAATTTTGAAAATATACAATCTTTAAACCATTGTAAGGAATGGTTTTAGGAACCATGGCTTCCTAAAACCATTTGTAAGAATTTAGCTGAAAAAGTTGTCTAAATAATGTTTTTAAAAAAGCATCCTACCTGACATGCTTGTGCAATATGCCTACAGTGCTCCCAAGCACTCCTAAGGAGCTTGCCAATCCAAGTCTGTATGCACCAAACCTAGAAATGAGCAAATAAACTTTAGTGAATAAAGCCATGCCAAGGACATCTTTTATTGCTATTCTCAAGTACACCGGAGACGTAGCTAAGGATTGGTGGCAGAAGTACCCTCAAGCATGGCTTCACTGCCTCATTTCTGGGTTTGGCACATGTGGAGTGGGAACAAGTGCAAGGGAATGCTCAAGGGAGGTGCCCTCAGGAAGCAATTTACACATGCCCCAAGTTAATTTGTACACCAATCCATTTGTTATGTTAAGCTTAGTAAAAATTATCCTACATACAAACTCCACCAAAGACCACTCTTGCAGAAGGCAACAACTTGGCCCCCTGAAAGACACACCTGAGTTGCACACTGCCACCTGATAAGCTCATACACTCCACAGGATTCTTGGTCCTACTGTCTCCTTGAACCAATGAACATTATAAATGTTGGTAGAAAACAGGGCATGGTGTCACCACACAGCAGTGGATCTCAACCTTTTTAGAGTCAAAGTACCCCTTGTTAAAAACTCAAGGTACCCCTCAGAAAATGCCAGCTCTTAGTTTTCAATTGTTTTTTCAAGTACAGAAAAATAATAGAGCGATTCTGTTGCAAAGAACTCAGAAAAGCCACCACCGGTCAGGACGTTTTTAACACTATAAATTCCTATTTGAAATCTCAGGGTTTTCATCATCAATCTTGTTTGTATACCCAACAGTGCAAACGTTGCATGACACCCCACATCCCCCTTGAAATTATCTTATGGCACCCCAGGCTGCTATACCCTGGTTGAGAATCACTGCCTTAAAGACTAACTAGTTTGGATCATGACAAAGTACTGTAGGTTGTTGCCTATGAAAGCTTATGCCTCTCTGAACCAATTAATCTCCAACCAGGTGCTACCCTGCCCTGCCTTCTGCCTGACTTCAGATTAACACAGCCAACTACCTCTCTCTCCATTATAAATGTCCTACGGGTCCCACTCATTGCTACTCTCTGAGACTGAAAAGGCTAGAGTGGTCAGTGCTCAACGCTAACTGCAAACTGTGCAACTCATAGGCCAGCTCCATCTCCCTTTCAGGCAGCATGACATCAAGAGAAAGCAAAAGCACATGAACACCCCTCTCTCTCTCTCCCTCCCTCCCTCCCCCTCCCCCTCCCTCTCCCTCTCTCGCCTTGGGTAGCTAGACAAAAGCAGTTCATGTCTTGATTCCCTGTGCTTCTGGGAATTTGGGACTGTAATTTTGTTTGGTGCTGTATAAATGATAGAAAAGATTACTAAAACACGCATGTCCCTCCCACAAATCTAGTACTTTTTTTTAATCACCTTTGCATTTCTCTCATTGCTTACTTTCCATAACTTGTAAGTGCAAAGCAAAAAGTTCCTATAAAATGTGCGCTGCTGTCATCTGTGGAATATGAAATCTACAACAGTTATTTCATAATTAATCTTTATTCTGTCTTCTTCTCTAACATAACTACACTGCAGCAGATCTGCAAAGTCTCAGTCCTTTGCAAGGAGCATCCTTTATTTTTGCGTGAAATACAAGGCCACTTACTAAGGTATGCATATGAATTTTATGATACAGAGATTTGCTGTATGACTTTTTCCATGAGATATAGAAAATTCCCTCTGTTCTTTTTGAAATTGCCCTCAGATTGCCATAGCTTGACAACCATACAACTTGGTTATATAATTAGTGGACAAAATGCTTACAGCAGTGTTACTACACGATTTGATTCATTACTATCTCATAACACAGAGAAAGTGGGAAAATTGCAAGTACAAAGCATTTACATTTTTATTTTTATATATTACAGAAAGGTTGCTTAATTTCTGATATGGATAACTTAAATGTATTTATTTACTTATTAATAGGCCCACAATATTGCAAACTTACTTACAAGCAGTGGAAACCAGAGGACAAAACATTGGCCTCCTATATTAAACATACCTGCCCCAAGCCAGGGAAAGTAGCATATTGTTCTCCTTCCTTCACTCTCCATTTTTTATTTTACATGCTTATATTATTTGCTAAATATACAATTACAGTTATCTCCATCTTTCAGACATTTGCATGTTTTGCCATTCCCAAAGAAAATTCACAAGAATCCTTGAGCTGTTGTATGCAAACAAAAACTGTTATTAGTAAACAATTCGTTTTCCATAGTTCAGTGTTTGGGTTTACATAGATCAATTATTTTGGGGAGAAATTGGAGAGATTCTTTCCCAGCAGTGGTGCATATTGGTCATTTTAAACAAAGTAAAAATACTTGTCTAGGTGGTCTTGTAAAGAAACTAGTCAGGAAGAGTTATTTTTCATTGGTATTAAGCATAATTAAGCAAAGAGGACCATAAAACAATATACAACATGACGTTATATAAACATCAGTAGGTGCAACAATTAAAAGTTGAATAGATCAAAAATTTCTCATAAAATATAGGATTCTTGAAAATATATTCTACAAACATTAATATGTTCTTCATTGGCTTTTTGTGGGGCATGGCTGATATTGTATTAGTGGAAAGCAGAAAATTGAGTATGCCAATAAACTAGTTTTAAATATGGGTTATCCATAGGCAATAATATTTACACAGAAATTAAAGGAAACAATGAATTTTATGTTAAGATACTTATTTTACTTATATTTACTGATTTAAGCAAGCATGAGTGATAGAACAATCAATCACTCTTTTCCTCATCCATAAGCACCTGGGACCCAGAGAGCACTCTGTTTATTCAGCTAAAGTCACTAGTTTAAATGAGCCTTTCGGCACAACCCTCCCCTGGTAGTGCTCATATGAAGGCATGCTGCTGCTGAAGGATTCCATGGCAAAATTGTGGCTCTACTAAGTAAGAACAAACCGCTCATCCCTCTCATTTCTCTATGTTTCTGTGCTTCAGAATAGCAGAACTTGTTCAGTTTACTTGTTCAGTTGTTGAGTCTCCTCCATGGGCTAGTATGATTTGACAATTCTGTTCCATCTTCTCCATTTATTATCAGGGCAGTATGACCCAGAGCAGCTGTACCCATGCAATCTTGAACACCTTTGTTAAACCACTACCCCTTTCCTGACTCACCCATCTATCCATACACTTTGCACAGGTAATACAGAAATGAAATCTACCTTACACATGAAATATTAAATCTACAGTGCGGTATAGCTTCATCTAGAACGCAGTCGGAAATTTCATTTGTCAGGCAATCAGCCCCCTGAAAGCGCTCTAAAGCCATGACACACATGCACAGCTGCAGAGTGCTTTTAAAGTGGCCAATTTTACAAGTTAACCCAAATCGGATGAAGGTGCTCCACTTTGGAGTGCCTTAGGGATCTCATGTTTCCTCAGATGAAGTTTGTGGTAGGTCTAGGTGATTGGAACCCCTTTCACCCTCCCCCACAACCTCTCCCTCCAACATCCCCCCTCCAGTTTAGGCCAGGCAAACCCCAGCTGGTAGCTCACTCCCTCTCCTCCTCCCTTTCTTCCTGCAGAAACCCCCAAGCTGGGAGTGGGGGCACGGCAAGGGAAGAGAAGCAGCTCTTCCACTGCAGGCAGGCTCCATGGGCTCCTGCAAGTGCACATCTGTTGGGGGGGCATTCTAATTCATGGCACTTTATGTAAAGTGCCAGGAGTTAGAGCAGGAGCCTGCAAGTCTGGCAGCACTCCTAATAGTTAAAACATAAGACAGAGTTCAGAGATCTTCATTCTAGTTATACATCTGCCATTGACTTTATGCAAGTCACCCATCTCAGTCTCAGTTTCCCCATCTGTAAAATAGGAATAATACTTTACTTACTTCAGCATCATGTGATTTAATATTTGTAAAGTCCTCTTGGTTGTTTGTCCCAGAACTGAAGCAATTCTACTTTGTTACGGGGTTTTCACAGGCACTATCACAATGGATACATTTCACTCTATGAGTCTACATCATCCTGAGGAAGGTTGCGCACACTTTTGGTGTACTAAAAAAAAGACAAGATAGGAAGAATTCAAAGAAAATAAAATTCAGAAGCCAAATTCGTCCAAAAGAAAGGACAAAAAGCATAAATAAACACATACTTAGGAGTTTAAAATAAAGAAAACAAAAGAAAAAAAGGATTAAGACTAAAATGAAAAATGCTTGCACATGATTGTTTAAAAAGCTTGACTGTCTGTAGGATCATCAACTTTTTCCTAAGGAAAAAAAAAAATCAAATAAAGAACTTGTTGAATTCTGCCAGATACTTAAAATCACAAGAGGTTTCACTAGCATAATATTTGTTCTTTTTTTTATTTGGCAAAATTAACTAAACAAAAATTTAGCCAGGGATCTTACATCGGCTCAGGGATTTGAAAATGAAAAAACATAGAATGTGTAGCATTTTGCAGTGTACAAATAAAAGCAAAACATTCAAGAGAGCAATTTTTCAATTTATACGCAGGAGATGGGAAGGGTGGGCTAGCCAGTTATTTAGTTTCATTTTTTCATCGTAATGAGCCAATCTTGGCTTCGGATCCAAGACCCTGGCTGTTGTACTCCAGTGACAGAGAAGCCTTGAGTCCTGTGCAACAGAATACAATGCAACAGCAGCACCCCCACACCCTCTGCTGGAGGCTTGAGGTAGTCATGTCCTTAGCTTCATCATCAGCCAACATGGGCTATACAGATTTGGGTACCAATTCTCTTGGATTTGTTAATGATAATGCATTATTTCAATACAGGTACCAGTCTGGTGAAAAAGAGGAAGGAACGATCTTTGCTAACAAACCCTCTTTTTTGCTAACAAACCCTCTTTTTTCTGTTGCTTATTGAAAAAAAAAATCAATGAGTGAAGCTTTGGGAGCTGCTAGGATGAGATTATAGTTATCACAGGTGAACAAGAAGGGGACTGTGAGCAGCAGATACCAGAGAAGGCTCCTGGGGACAGAGGGCATGAAGAAGGTGTACTGTTGTTTTCACTCCGCCCCCCCCCCCCCCCCCCCCCATCTGCTTTCAGACAAATCAAGCATTTCTATTTAAAGGCACATTGATTTTTGGGGTGGGGAGAGAAGAGAAGAGAATTGGGGATAAGATGGTTTCCTTGATTTCTTTCTGTTAGATAATTAGACATTGCCAATACATTGCAGTTTCAAATGCCTTGGGGATACTGGAGTGTAGAAAAAGGGTGGGTTTTATTTGCCTGGCTCTTTTAAAGCTATAATTGAGGGTTTCTTTTTTATAAAAGAAAAAAAAAGGTGCTAAATATGCCTTGGGAGAGGTGGTGGAAAAATATTATGACATTAGTCAAGATGATTGCAAACACTGTGCGACTGCAATGCATGCAGCTGACCTAACTAAAACACACATAACAGAGCCACTCTTCATTTGATTACAAGATTACTGGTCAAATTCCAAACACCACACCAGGATGATTCAGATGGCCAAGACATGGAACCATCAAATACTAACAACTTAGATCTGACAACAAATGTAGGTAATAAAGCATCATTTCCCAAAACAGGGGTTGGGGGGGGGGGCGGGTTGTTTTGTTTTTTTTAAACAGAGCAGATATTCTTTCCCCTGAAACAAAAATCTCAAACACTTTAAAAACTAATTGTTACAAAAACAAGTATTTTCTCAAAATTAAATCCATTTGCTGATGAAGCTGAAGTTTGAATTTAAGAGGTTTGGTTTACCTGAAGTAATTAACATTGGTCCTCGCCCCTACCTTGGGCAAATTCAAGAGGAGGTTGGATGATCACCTGTCTGGGGTCTTGTGACCCCAGCATTCATTCCTGCCTGTGGCAGGGGGGGGGGGGGGGGGGGGGGGGGGGGGGGGGGGGGGGGGGGGGGGGGGGGGGGGGTTTTTTTTTTTTTTTAGCCACTATGAAACATTATAAAATAATTATGATAATTGGTCATACTGATTTTTAATAATAGACTAGTTTTGAAAATATTTTATCTACTTACCCACTATCAGTAAGGCTAGAATAAGCTACAACAGTAACAGAGTAACAGCTATAGCGCTACAGCTGCTTGTTTCTTCCAAGTTTAAAGGAACAGGTGGGAGGAAAGCATTCTGGGAAAAGTTCCCAGAAGAATATTAAAGGATATCAGACACTCAAAGAAAGGTTGGTTTTTAAGAAAGAAGCTGAATTTTTGCTCGCAAGGAGTAGTTGGAAAATATACTGTGTGTTTAAAACTCAAAGAGTATTTTTATAAGTCTTTTTAATGCAACAAGGAAGGCTATATAAAAATTCAGATACTTTTGGGGCATCTAGTTTGCCTTTATTGTATAGCATTACTATAATTACAAGATTATGCTCTGAAGGTAACTCTTTATGCTGTAAGAAAATTGGAAGCAAATAGGAGATTTTATAACATTAAGGTTAATATGACCTTTATATGTGTGGTTATCAATAAATATAAACACTCACACATACACGACATGGATATTTCCTCACCAGTTATTAAATAAACTCTCACCCTTATCACATAAAATTTACATAGATAAACTTCCCATTGAAATCAATGGTAATATTGGCACCAAAGCCAAGTTAGGGTAAAAGGATCAGGCCAAATATTTGCTAAATCATATGTAAAGCAACGGTGGTCCTGTAAGGCTCATCACATAAGTCTTGAAGTTGGAAAAAAGAGTGGTGTGGATTGTTATTTATACCTATATGGGAACTGGCTAGCTTCCCGTAACGAGAAGAGTCCACACATGTTGCTCTTTTTCTCAAGATAAGGGCTGCAGTACACTTAAAGGATTCACCTGATCCAACATTGGAGTGAGTCAGCAAAAAGAAGTTTCTGCATTTCTATCCAGGATTCTGGACACTGATACTAAGGCAACTCTGCAGAGTTCTATACTCTTATGCCAAGTCCTAGTTATAGTCTAAATCACATCTTAAAATAAATGAAAACTAACATGTTCAGTTTAGCAAACACAAACCTGAGGAGGTGCTGCCAAATTACAAATGAAAGTTAGGGAGTGATTTTTCTGTGAAAAAAACTATTCTCCTGCCTGTGTTCTAGTGTCTCTGTCTTTTATTCTGTGATCATTCATTCTGGTGCATAGTTTTTGTCTGGTTTTACCCACATTGTTTCCAATAAGTCATTTGGTGAACTGCATGAGGTATACCACATTCTGGGATACACATGTGTATGATCTGTGGATTATTATGCCCATCTGACCTCACAGTTCTGCTGCTCAAAGGAACTTAACAAAACACTCTCAAAAGACAAGCTTGAGGACAAAAATTAGCCTATTGGACACTAAAAACTAGGGACGTATTATAGATGATGACTTCATGGCCCGTTATAATCTAATTGATACTTGCTAATCTCTGCATTTCATAAATGATAACAACCCTCCTGACCCATCTTGCTCTTTCACTTATCAGGTTTCTATTGCATCTCTTATTTGTCGGCTCCCTAATAATTTCCCTTGTATCCTGTTTTTCTTTACACATAGAGTTTTATACAAGCCCTTGTTCCATTTGCTATTTAGCTGTGCTGTGTCTGCTTCTCTACCAGAGACCTGAGGAAGGGCACTGTGGTACCTGAAAGCTTCTCTATGTCTTTCCCTGCTATACAGTTGATCTAATAAAAGCTCATCCACAAAAATCCTTGCCTCTCACTTAAGTAGGGACTGCTTATGTGAATGTGGGTTTGCAGAAGCAGATCAAATAAATATACCCTAGTGTACTCTGCACAAATTATGTGATTTTTTTTCTTCTTCTTTGCTACAGTTATTTCAGGCATACTCTTCTTTTGATGATCTTTTTATTTCATATTAGTTCTTGCTCAGTGAATCCTACACTATAATTTTCTGTTACAAAGTATAATATATATAGGTAAGTCTGAGCAGAATCATAGGATGAAATCCTGGCCTATTTGAAGTTAATGGCAAGACTCCCATTTACTTTCCTGGAGCCAGGGTTTTTCTGTAGCCCTCTGAAGAAAGACATGGCTGCAGATGCATTATGCAACACTGTATCCATGAAAATGTGATATACTTTCTACTCAAAATAGGACATACCTTCTTCTGCTCTAAGTAAAAGAAGTTTGAGAAACTTCTGGGAACCAGAAGGAAAGACTCCTTTTGGATAGATCAGGCCTTTTGTACTATAAAAATGTTGAATTTTTCTATGTTAAAAATACAACAAAATAGTTTTAATCAGTGCACAGAATAACTAATACAGCACAGGCTTTTACAATGGTTTTTTGCAATCCTGCTTTTTTCTCTTAATTTCTCTGCCACTTCAAATATACAGCAGATGACTAAAACAATCGAAGAATGTTTTGCTACTAGTCAGCTGCTCTCTTACATTGCTACCCCCTCATGAATCTGCCAACTTCTTCTGATCATGACTCTGTTTTGTGTATTGGAAGATCTGACATCCCTCATTCTTTAATAGAATAGGGAGAACAAAGTACTTGATGAATAGTAAATAGAAATACTACTATTTCTGTTCAGTTTTAATGCCTTCCTTATTTACAATATCTCATCCATAATAAGGTTGAAAAGGGAACACAATAATCTTCTCAAATGAGAGAAGTGTGCATGGAATATTAATTCTGTTTCATTAAACAACTTGACTAATTGCTACCCAATTACTTTTTCAATTTGGGGACTTTCCCTCTACCACAAAAGTCAAAATAAATCACATTCCAACCATGAAGGGTATTTTGAAATAAATCAAGCTCTGGAGTTATTTTATTTCTTAGTTTTCAAATGTATATGACTTTTTAACAAAATAATTTGGGAAATTACATTTAGATGATGGATAGTTAGTAATAAGGCAAAATGCAATTTTTTAGCAAAAATACCATACTGTGATATTTATTTGTGTTCCACGGAATCTCAAATACAATAACTACAACCAAAAATGAGTACATTCCATGAATTCCAATTTACAAAAGCCATCTCTCTCCTCCTGTGAAGCTCCTATGTGCTCCATTGTTTCTGAAAGGCAGGATGATTATGACAGCGAATAA